GTCCTTTCTGGTATATTAATCTATCCATTTTAATCAGTCATTCATCAGTTCATGGCAGCTAATTGGATTGTTGCTTCGTAGTGCTTCACGCACAGCCGATCATTGCCAGTAAGAACGCAATCATCGCGCTTCTAGGCACGTGAATGAGCTTAGAATTCATGGGACTGAGCTCGAACTTAAAAAAAATAGAAATGTTCGGATGGAGCACTGCACAACACAATATAAAAAAAATGAGGCCGCTTTGTCCAAGCGTTACTAAATCTGACTGAATTGCGGAGCTAGGCAGTCTTTTTTTTTTGTTTCTTCTGTTATCTTTTTTTTCTCCTTTTCTTTCTTTCCCAATTGATTTGCTAGATTTTTTGCCGGCATTTCTCTCTTTTTGTGTCATTTCCAGTCACTTCCAATTTCTCCCTCATCTTTCTCTCTCTTTGTATTTCTCGCTTTGTTTCTCTTTAATTTTTTTTATACCTGCCTAGTGCTGTCATTTTTCCCTAGCCAAAGTAGTAGTGTCCGCATATTAATATCGTCTCCGAGGCACTCGAGAGACAACACGAGGAACACTTCTCTTCGGTGTGAACGCGCGCTCATTATGCACATGGAGACAAAGCACCAACTCGGCAAAAGTTGAACGTTACTGAGGTTGCTATGCTGCACGTTATTTTGTCAGGGTTACGCCATGTCAAGACGACAAAGTTGTACTCAGTGCAGTGGCGCGCAGAAAAGTTTTTGTCATAGGAGGGGTGGGGGCATAAAACCTCTTTTTTTGGGGGGGTGGGGGGGCACCCTAAACTCGGTTATTTTTTCTCTTTTGTTTACCAGGGTGCAAAAACAAAATCGGGGGGTCAAGCGTGGAGCCAGTGGGCCAGCGCTTTTACGCCTGTGACACATCGCTTATAAAACACACACTGAAGAAAGAAATTCTGTCTCTCTCTCCTCTTTTCTCAATGCGTAAGAGGTTTTGTAGGACTCGTGAGGTTTCAACCAATAAGCAGTAATCTTAACGCACATCAAGTGCATCGAAATAGCTACGGCCAAATTCCACATTTTGGTGCATCTCTTGAAGAAGAATGAACGAACAAAAAATCGACAGCAAACAAAGGCGTTATATATACAACCGACCCGGCTGCATAAAAGAACTCGCCCTGCTGAAGGAGCAGCGCGGATGGCAGTGGCCATGAGCCTAAGGAGGAGTTTATTTTCTTAACCGAAAATAATGGTTCAAGCTGTGCTTTTTTTTTTCTTAGCTGGAGGTCGCCAGATAGCGAGCACGACGGCTGTCAAATTTGAACGGCCCCACCATAATATTATAACTGAAGCGGTCGTGCAGCGCATGGCCTAATTAAAAGTGAGAATGAGCTGAAAACAGAAACCAATACAGTGTTCAATCAACTCAAATTAGTATTGCAATAAAAATGAATAAAATGACAAAACCGAAAGTATGCCACACCTCCTTAATTTGTGAATGAATCCTGCTGCGATTCGCCGCCAAATTACACGGCAGCGATTGCACCTAGTCGTTTAAAAAGTATATATAGATATATGTTGCTGACTCGTATCGTATTGTTGGACGCATAGAAATCTTCAAAATTACGATTTCGCGTGTTTGCAATGAAGTGTGCGATAATTAAATTCCCTCAAGTGCACAAACTTGGCACCCGAGTCCCACACCATAGTGTTTTTCATAATTGTGTCATAGTTTACTTTGCTTTTTTGAGGACGGCGAATCTCGCATATGCGGTGGCACGTGCGGTGCAGTCTTACAGTTGTCATTGAATTTCCTCCTTTCTCTCTTTCTCATCCACTTTTCCTTCTATGCCCTTTTTCTAGGGCCCAATATGGGGTAGTCAACCGAAAGATGTTCTGGTTAACATCACTGCCCCCTGTTCTTGCGGGACCAAGTTCGTTATGCTATGAAACTTCTCTGTTTTGAGTGTCTTATTGTTTCACCTGTTGCCTTGAATATAGAGGGCGCATCGTGAATAGCTGTAATCGTCTCATACGAGAAGGTTTACTGTAAGACATTTCTGTGAATATGCGCCCTGTTTCCTTACACGCCTGATTGTCTCAGTGTGCTTCAGGGCGTGTTCCATAAGCTCAAAACGCAATTTTCATTACTAAGCCCGACTTCTTTACGCGCTACTTTGGCGCGTACGCTCACGCGCACGAGACCCAAAAAAGATATACAGAGGTTGATGAACTGCGACAGAACGCCTATTTGAATTCACTGTCCCAGTGGGACTTCACGCGAAATTTTTGACGCTCGCGTTAGCACTTCATCATGCTCCCTCCGACAGGAACAGCGAGGCAACAGTCACCGTCGGCGCTTCGACTGAAAGCTCCTCCCCATCAACCAATTCAACAGCGCCGGTTCGTAAATTCTCCCGTATACCGAGATGAAGGAAAAAGAAATCAAAACTGCCATCGAAGGGCAACGCCGTCACAAAAAAAAGCCACCCCCCCCCCACCCTCTCTCTATACTATAAGGCTTCGCGTTTGCACCGAATCACAAAGAGACTACTAACGGTACCTGGCCGAAGCTGCCCGCTTGTGGAAACGACAGCCAAAACTTGTAAATGCGAGCAAACGGCCCTGCACACAGCGAAGAAAGTAAAAACACGCCGACTCAAAGATCGCGCGCACGCGTGCGCCCGAAACAAGCGTCGTTCAACGAGCCGCACAACCTTTAGGAAACTGGCTCGCTTCTTTAGCTTCGCTTGTGTGTCTTTTTACGTTTTCAGGGGGAACACACAAAGGCGGCGGCACACTTCCAAACGCGCTCGAGCAAGCAGACATATAAAAAATACATAAATAAAAGGAATGCAAGATAAAGACACACAGAAACTGCGCGCAGAGCCCGCTGGGGGGAGCTGGCGGCGACGTAGTGGGGTTGGTGTCGAACAAAGGAATAGCCGGAGCTTTAGTTGTAGGTTGCGAATAAGGATATAAAAAGAGAGGCGGGTTTTCAGGGTGGTAGTGGTGGTGGCGCACGGAAGAAAAGGATCGCCGCGAATTCATCATCGATGCGAGAGACCGCGGGCGCGGATGGGGGAGATCGCGTAACGTTCGGCCGAACAGAAAGTGAGCACGCGCCGGCGGCCGTGTGTGTGCTTTCCATAAAACCAAGGCCCCCGGTTTTGAGCTCCGCTGGCGGACAGCGTCGAATCCGCACTCTATATAGCCCGCGGGACGATACCACGCTTAAAAAAACACCCGATCGTCTAAAAAAGCCTGACGCGCAAAAACTAAAAAAAAAACAAACAAATAAGTCAAGGGAGAACGGAAAATGCAATCCTGGGCCGCATCGCAAGCGCTCCAGACTCGCGTGCGTTGAAGGATGACAAATAGCCCACAGGATCGGCTTTAAGCAGAGCCTACATAGTCGCGTGGGCTGTTGGCTTTTTTGAAGAACAAAGAAGCGAACTAAGTTCGTAGACGCAAATAAAGAGAGAAGAAAGAAGGTGAAATTGAGTGCCCGGTTCTCGGTAGTGACGCGTTTGGACGTGGCAGACGATCGACAGGAGCGGACGTCAAAATAAAGCAGACTGGCAAGGAGCAGACGACAAAAAAGGAAGCGCCTTCGCTTTGGGGGACGATCGAATAAAATAGGGAGAAAGGAAAATGAAAAAGGCACAAGCAGGCGACCCAGCGCTGAAGCAAACACGGGAAGATGCGAATGAAATATAAAGAAAAGGAGGAAATGGCAAGTGGCCGGCCGGCCTTCCCGTCGTCCCTGGCGCCGCGCCGCGAAAAGCAGGAGGGAAACGGGAGCGCGACGCTTCCTCCCGCAACAGCGACGCCGTGCGGAGAAGCCATCTTGGAGATCCACCGGTGCTCCAACCCGAAAAAACGTGGTCGCGCCGTGTTTTTCTCGTCAACACGCCGGCAATCGTAGGGAAGCGGATAAACGGGGACACCCTAGAATTGCTCGGAGTCGGTTTTGACGAAGGACGTGAAGTCCAGACCACCGGGGACAGACGTCGTGCTGCGAACCACGCGGCCGACACGCGTGCCGGGGTGGGGAGGGAGATAGCGGGATTTTTCGGGAACAAAGGAACGGGGCGCTGCACGCTGACTCAGCGACGCCGCCGACGTGGTTCGATGGAACGGCTCGCGTGGCGTGGTGCGATACTGGTCGGCTTACGCTGGCTGTGTGACAGCGAAACGAGTGCTTTCGTGTGTAATGAGCTGGTATGTGCACCTTTGAAAGTGAGATATTTATAGCGGCAGACAGGCCGCATCGTTATTCCGCTCACCACGACAGCCTCGAGGCTACAGTAATCGATAACTATTTACAACGTTCTCTTTTAGCAAGGCTGACGCATCTCTCGCATTGACTGCACGGCCCAATGAGCTCTCGGGAACCTCGCATGTATGTCGTATGTGGTGTCGGACGGCTCAGGAAAATTGTCTCCTCAAATACTCGATGTGACTGTTAATTTAATATCGTTGTGAAGCTACGGTTGCTGCCATCTGCTACACAACGGTGAAATGTGTAAGGGATAACTGTATTGAAGGTGACAGTGAATTTGACGAGTCGACGCTGACAACGCCACAGTGGCGCTGCGACAGTGGCAAAATCTAAACACGTCAACAGAATACAGTACAGTAGGCGTCACCGTGAAAGTTGGGAGCGTGGCGTGTCATGAAAAATGCAGAAAAAAATATTTCCGGTAAGCCGCACGATTGGTGAACAGGGCTATGGAAGAAGAACAAAAACACACCGCCCGACAGAAAAGCGTCTCCCAGGAGATGCGCAGACATCGGAATGAATTTTCGCACCTATTAATGTCGTCTGGAAAAGCTCGCTTGAAGAAAACGCGTGCTGACAGTTTGGCCTCGACCAGCCATACGCCTAGCTTTCATATATGGGTGCATACAATGCAGTAACTACAGCAAACACTACTTAGATTGTCCTACACAGTGATTTTCCCGAAGAGAAAAGAACGTAAATGCGTAACAAAAGTAGGTGCGTATGAGAGAGAGAGAGCAGGACGACTCACCTTGGTTCAAAAGACCGCTCTCCGAAGAGTTAACCCAAGCGAAAGTCGTCGTGGTGATGAGGTGTTTGGAGTAGCCAATACCGAGGGTAAGGGACAGTTGTTGAGACGCGGATTATCTTCTGAGTCGGCGATCACCAGTTGAAGGAAAAGGAACGAAAGTTCGGCCACGCGAAACACCAAGCGGCTGGTCTCACGGCGGAAAAAAATCCCGGTTGAAGGGGCTTTTTTTTTTTCGCGACCTGTGTCGTCTTCTGAGCGAGCCAAACAAGGGGCTTGAGATTTGTTTTGCTTCTTACGTTGTCACCTCCGGTTGGGGCTGTCGTGGGGATGGGGCAAGTGACCACGCGGCGCGCAACTTGTGCGTTCTCTTGTGCAACGAAAGCGATTTGACGGAGGCTGGACCTCTATGCGCTGCGTACGTTCTTCAAAACTCTTTCGATCGCGCTGTATTAGCGACGTGCTCGTAGTAAGTTGGCGGTTGTGACGGTGGTGGTCCGGGTGAAAGGCCTTCTGCCGCACTCGGTCAACGAAGCAGGCCCACGCGTCCAATCACCGACCGTGGTTAGCGAAAAGCAGACGACAAAGAACACGTCCTGCGCGGGAAGCAGACGATTTTTCTTCTGTGTAGCAGACGACGCTGAAAAAGCACACCGTAGCAGCACTCAAAGGAGGTAAGGACTTTGGAAGGGGGAGGACGGGCGATGTTGTTCTCTCTCCTGCTCTCTGTTGCTTCTTTTTTTTTCCTTTCTTTTGTTTCTTGAACGTGACGAAGACAAACTAATCAGGCAGGTTGGATGAGGGCGCTCTTTTTTTTTTCCTTCTTCAGTTGAATCTTCTTCTCCCGGAGCTGATGATGTTGGTGGAAAACTTCACGCCAAAAAGGCAGGCAACTCAGACACGCGGGAAGAACGCAAAAGCCGATATTAGAAGAGAGACAGAGAGAGAGAAAAAACGGAGCTAAAAAACAGAAGAAAAAACGAAACCGGTGTACCCCGACGTGTCTACTGCAGAACACAACACAACCGACGTTCCGTCGACCGTACCAACTAAATGACGGGACCCGAGAGCCCGGCGTCCGATAAAAGGGGAGCCGCTTCACTCACCGCCACACGGGTGGCCCTCCGCGCTAGCGTGTGTGGCGGCGTTCGCTGGTCCAAAAAGTCTCGTCGCCAAGTTTTCCAGGTGTCCCGAGGTCACGAAGAAGCGTTCAAGAGGTGTCAACTTGCGAAAACGGCGCTTTTTGTGAGAGCCGCGAAGCGTTTCACGGGCGCACTATTTACAGTGGCGCATCACCGGCCCGTAGCCGGGAGAGGGTGAAGAGCGCGCCGCGGCTCGCGCCCGCAATCCTCCTCCTCTACCGCGCGTCCATCTTTCATCCTCTTTCCATCGGGCTCTTTCTCCTCTCATCTCTCTAGTTGGTCACTTCCTCCTCTTCTTCACCTTTTTTTTTTTTCCTGCGCCATTCATCCCCCGTTTCTCTCCGTCCTGGCGCAGCGCCCTCTCGGAGTTCTTTTCATCAGCGTCGTTCCATCACGTTCGTCGTCTGCTACTTCCGAAGCAGACGACGGAAGAGCGCGTGTTGCGGTAGGAGTGGTTCCTTCCTTTTCGCTCGACTAGACGGACTCCATAGAGACCGCTACTTGTCGGCTGGCTATGACTGAGGTCCGTCTATGGCTGTCACTTCGCCTTGTGTTTCGAAAGCTCTCATTGCCCAATACTGCAAATTGGACTCACAAAACTCTCAAGCACTTAAAAGGGCCCTGAAACACTTTTCACGACTTCATAGTTTTACATGATTTTCTTGTTGGTTGCGTACATTAAGAGATAAGTGCCGCAAGAACGGCAGCGATAGCGCCACGCAGTGCAAAGTTATTCAGCGTAGAGATATCAAAATAGAATGAAATTAATGCTCACCCTCAACTGTGACGTCGGAAGGCTGCCCAATGAAATGACTGAAAGCCCTACCGTACAGGAGGCTCACATGACATATTGCCTGCTACGTCCATCGTATTAAGGACGCCGTTGCGATGGTAACAAACAATGTGATACTTGAAGAGGGACCGACACGTGTGAAACGAGCCAGCTTGCGAACGCTTCTATGATGTTTTGTAGCTTTACTGATCTTTCTTTTTACAATTACGTATATATATATATATATATATATATATATATATATATATATATATATATATATATATATATATATATATATATATATATCAACGCTCTTACATTTTATTTTCTTTTATTTTCTTCAAATAACGGCGCCCAGAGCGTCGCCTGCGTGTTTTCTCCAGCACATGGCGTTCGGCGCATTCTTTGACCAGCTTTGCAGCTTTCAAGCTGGAAAAGTCGGAGAGCTTTTTTCTATTCGCGTTGAGTGAAAATTCATGCTAATGAAAAGATAAATCCAATTGTAATATGTATTTTGATGCAATGCCACGATCACATTTAACATTAAATTTATCCATTCATATGGCGGCAACATTCCGGTGGTCATATCCGCTCGTAGAAGTTATGGCGCGCGCCAGTGCGAGTTTTGAAATCAGCACCGACATTTTCAAGCGTTAGAGGGCCCCTTTAAGTGCGTTTTTATCCTCTTCAGCGCTTACAGACTCCCACGTGCTGTAGAGGGTGGTTACCATTGTTTATCTGCTGCTAAATTTAGACCTACTCTAGACGCCATTGCAGAACACTATCGACTCCTACTCAGACATTTTAAGACATTTAAGGTGGGGATATTTTCAACGTGAATTTAAGATTTTCGCAGTGGTAAAAAAGCCATGGCTTTAAAATTAGCAAGGTCCTTGAACAGTCTACGGAAGTTGCGTTGGAGCTTAAAAGTAGTTTGAAATTGCGTTTAGTGTTTTTGCATTCTTCTTTATTAGTTTTTATACATGGGTAGTTTTCCTTCAAAATTTGCTCTCTACAGAGCTTTCACATTTAGCACCAAGATATTATGCGACAAACGCCTTATAAAACTGGCGCTAAAATAGGAACCAACTCAACAACAACTATATTTACAATGTTGTTTTACGCTTACTAGTGTTGTATAATTGCGCTTATAATTGTTTTTAAACTAAAAGTTATAAATGCAATCGGGCTACTTGTTCAAGTTCCACTGGTGTAAAACCCCACTAACTAAAACATGGTGATGATCATGATGACGAACACTTTATTTTGGTCCAGAAAACATGTAACAATTTCTGTTTGATCACGTATTATAGTTCTTGACAAAAAGCACACAAGCCTCCAAAAATGCTGTTTCAAGAAAAACTTAGAGTTTAAGTAGGGTGTTACGACCGGCCCTGGGGAGCCAAGCAGGAAGAGTTTGGGGGAGAACCGGTTCTTGACCGACGGTGTCGTCCACCCCCACCTCCCCATTCGGGTTCCTCCTCTCGCCGGGAGAGCTCCGGGGTCTGCTGTGCGTTCGTGACCATGTTTGGTAACATTTTAGGGCGCCGTGACCATATATGGACCTCGTGTTACGTTGGGCCACTCCATGTGTTGTGAGGTGTGTTTCCCCCTCTATCGTGGCCGAGGTGCCGGAGACACCGTATTGGCTGACGATGCGGACGGGGCGCCCAGTGTCAACGGCGCGGCGCTATAAAATGCCGAAGACGTTTTGTATCACACGCACTCTTCTCTCTTTGGGTCAGTTGACCACTTCTCCACATGTAAATAAATCTCTGTTGTTCGTTCGGGCGCTTCTTCTCGCTGAATTGTTGGACGATGGATCCTGCGACGGGGCCAGCTACCGAAAACGAGACCGGCAGGACCCGGAGTCCCAACAACTGGATGGCAGCGGCGGGATGCCGATAACCCCGAAAGCGACCACTGGACGGAGTGAGCCCGAAGTTCAACAACGGGACGACAGGAGAAGGAGGACACGAGCTCATCGACTTCCAGAGGGAATCGAACGGCACTTCTGAGAGGCACGACGCCGGAGACATGACTGCGAACTGGGTGAGTGCCGGCTTTCTCTGTTAAATTTTACCAGGCATTTACTCTATGTGTTAAGTAAAAGCTGGTAGAGAGGGGCTGTCTTGGTCATTGGGTTAACAGGTAACTTGCGTCAGGCAGAAATTGTGTGATAGCTTGGTGAAGCTCTTTCTGTCAGTGGCGTCAAGGTTAACAGTGACAGGGCAGGATTCCGTGTAAGAGCTTTTGAAGCTTTATTCGTAGACTAAGTTAACGGAAAACTTGAGGCAAGGCAGGTATCTAGAGCTGTCGTTGCCGTCAAGGTTAATTAGTTGCAGGACAGGAATCTTTGTGGAACAGAGACAGCGGTACTGGAGGCAGCCATGAATCTGAAATCCCTGCGAAAGTCCATGTTGTTGCTTCTTGCAAGGGAGTTGAATCTGGAGGTGTCGGACTCTCAAAGAAAGCCAGAGCTGATAGAGGCATGGGGGCAGTTCTTAGTCAAAGGGATGAGGGGGATCAAAAGCATCGCGTCCTCTATGTTAGCCGGAAACTCACCCTTCGCGAGCAGGTTTACAGCGCTAGCGAAAAGGAATGTGCGTGCTTGGTTTGGGCAGTCCAGAAACTGGCTTGTTATATTGCCGGAAGCAAGTTCATTGTGGAAGTGGACCACTGTCCTCTCACCTGGCTACAGACCATGTCCTCTAAGAACGGCCGCCTGCTGCGTTGGAGCCTCGTTTTGCAACAATATACGTTTGAAATACGCTACAAAAAGGGTGTACTCCATGGCAACGCTGATGTCTTAAGTCGATGCCCCTGACGCGAGAGGATGTCTCGAGAACTCTGGCATTTTTTTTTCCTGACCTAGACAAGAGCTAGTGATTGTTTTTTTACTCTTTTAGGTGTACTTGTTTGAAAACGTTGAAGACACGGCTATCCAGGGTTACGGGTTCGGTGTGCTTCCAGTGTTGTTGTTTTGTGTCACCTTAAAGTGTGAGTAACATTTTGAATAAATTGTGTATTTCCTTAATATCAGTTAAAGGTGAAAATTGCCTGGTGGAGTTTGGCGGAATTGTCCGGCGCTCACCGGCTGAGTAGTTGTGTTTTCATGTGCGTACGTGATGTCTGTTGAGCCCACAATGAAGCAGGTGTTGCCCTCTACTTCATCAAAGACGGTCGTCACCAAACCGACTGCCGGCGCTGATCTCTCCGGACAGTGGCTGCAAACCTCAGCCCATCGAGATCTTCACCCCCCCGCGCGAGAGACTGTTACGACCGGCCCTGGGGAGCCAAGCAGGAAGAGTTTGGGGGAGAACCGGTTCTTGACCGACGGTGTCGTCCACCCCCACCTCCCCATTCGGGTTCCTCCTCTCGCCGGGAGAGCTCCGGGGTCTGCTGTGCGTTTCGTGACCATGTTTGGTAACATTTTAGGGCGCCGTGACCATATATGGACCTCGTGTTAGGTTGGGCCACTCCATGTGTTGTGAGGTGTGTTTCCCCCTCTCTCGTGGCCGAGGTGCCGGAGACACCGTATTGGCTGACGATGCGGACGGGGCGCCCAGTGTCAACGGCGCGGCGCTATAAAATGCCGAAGACGTTTTGTATCACACTCACTCTTCTCTCTTTGGGTCAGTTGACCACTTCTCCACATGTAAATAAATCTCTGTTGTTCGTTCGGGCGCTTCTTCTCGCTGAATTGTTGGACGATGGATCCTGCGACGGGGCCAGTTACCGAAAACGAGACCGGCAGGACCCGGAGTCCCAACAAGGGGTACCAACATGTTACAGAAAAGAAACCAAAATTTACTTTCAGTATCGCCAGTGCCCAAGTGTGTAGAACTGTCTGAAAGACAAAAAACAGTTCTATCAGGTGGCTGCAAATCCTAAAACCAAATTATCTGAACAAAAGGAGGTATAAGTCTCAGCGCATTCAAAGTCTTTTACGGCGGAAATATTTTGCCCATAACTCGTACCGTCGTCACAACAGCCGTGTAGCGTCACACAAAAGTCTCACTCATGAATAGTGGGTGGAAGTCGATAAACATTTGAAACACTTCAATTAAGACACTGCTAGAAATGTGCAAGCGCATGAACATAACGCTTCGTA